AAAAAAAAAAAAAAAAGCTCACATAGTTTCTCCCAATTTGGCAGTCGTATATCTTGCAAAGTCCTGTGTCCCATTGTGAATCAAGTGCGTTTTTCTAATGTATTTTAGATGTTGTGTTTAAACCTTTTGATTACGGAGCATAATAAAGTTGAAAAGATGTTGACAACGTTCAACCTTTGTCATGTTTATTTAGCTTTTTCCTAACACGCATTTTTTGTAACCTGTTTTTGGTAAGATCCTTAACAAAATAGATAATATAAAAAAGTATATAAATAGAAACATTTTGTAAAGTGTATGGAGTTATAAGAGAAAGCAGTCATTAAAATTACTTCAAAGTAAACTTTAATATATGGAATTTAATTGCTAAGAACTATTTTTAGTTGTCTACAATTTCTAATAACATCTTTTAATTCCTTTCTTCCCTGTTTTGTAATTTTTAGTACAGAAGTTTTTTACCTCCTAGTAACCTATTTATTCCTAAGCATTTTATTATTCTATATGCTCTTCTAGCATCTTACTTTCTTAATTACCATTTGGGTTGTTCATTGATAGTTGATTTTTCAGTTATATTTTATCTGTCAATTTCTTACACATTCCCCTTTTACCCTGCACATCATGTAGATTTGCACTTTCTTCTCTCTTTTTTTTCTACCTCCCCCTTTTTTTAAAAATTGGATGGTTTAAAGTCTTTCATTTGTATTTTCTATTAAGAAATTAGAACCAAAAAATGATGGATTTTGCTTATGAATTTCCTTCCTGGGTTGAAACTGTATACAACTGAGAAAAAAACTAAAACTTGCCTCTTAGCAATGTTCGCATCCATTCCATATCATTTTTGGGCTTTTTTTTAAAAATTAAACAAAATTTATTTATTCATGCCTACAAGAACTGGGCTTCAGGCCAGAGGTACAGGGTGTGAGAGTGGGGAACACATCATGCAGATTGACTGAAATACATTGCTGAAGGGAGCAGTAGGCAGGACAGGGGAGGTCTCTGCGCCATGTGCTGCCGGGCTGCTGACAGTTTCACAGTGCTGTGCTTTAACCGCCGCGCCACCAGGAGAGCCCATTTCTCAGGCTGTTGTTCAGGTTTTGGCACTACATTGGAGAGCATATTTTAGACATGAAATGTGTTCTATTCTTTTCAGGGACATTTTTGGACATACTTTCATTGACTTTATTTTTCTGAATATTGAAAATATGTTAAGAATTTTTGTTTGAGTATAATACACACGAAACGACAGAAATGGGATTAGAGACTGCATGGAAGCCGATGCATTCCATCTGATTTCATGTCGATGGGTATCAGCCTTACATAATCAGCCATGAAATCAGCATGGATCCATTTAGTTCTCAGTTCAAAGCTTTCTTCTGAACTAGTTACCCAGTGAAAGCATGGATGCTGATTAACATCTCAGTTCACTGTGTTCTGATTAATTTTGTGTTAAGAAAGTGTGACTTTTAAATCTAATATAGTTGGGATTTGCAGTTTAGTCACAAGGGGGGACCAATTTAAATTTGTGACTACTTTAATGCAGATATAGTTAGTTACTCAATTATTATTTATTGAACATCTGCTCTGCGTTACATACTGCTTTAGGCAATGGGCACCCAGCAATTAGCAAGTTATATGGTATCTCTGAGCTCATATTGTCATGGAGGCATTTGTAAGTATGAATAACATTATAAACAACCAAATGACTTATCAAATAAGATATAACTTAGCAATGCATGTTATAAAGATTATCAGTGTAAGGTAATTAAGATATGACTGATGGAAGTATATTTGAAATTTAGGAAGGGAGGCACAGAAGCCTCTTTTAGGGGGGATATATGTTTTTTAAATTATCTGTTTTAATTTCTCTCTCCTTTTTCTTTAAAGATTTATTTATTTATGCATAAAGAACTGGGTACAAGCTAGAGGTGCAGGGGCAGTGAGAGCATTAACCAGAGACAGAGTGGGGGGCAAAACAGGCAGATCAACGAAGTACACTGCTGAGAGGAGCAGTGGGCGGGTCAGGAGAGGTCTGTGGTGCCATTGGGTCACCTCTGGGGCAGGGGATCGAACTCACACTGAAGCAGCTGTGGCCAGCTTCCAGTGCTGTGTCCTAACACGTTGCGCCACCAGGGAGGGCAGAGGGGTGATATTTCAGGAGACCTGACTAATGAGAAAGAAGCTACATAACAATGAGTTCTAGCAGAGGAACTGCAAGTGAAAAGACTTGCATGTTGAACCAAGTTAACCTGGACAATTAGAAAGACTTGTGGGGCTGGACTAGTACAGCTAGACCATTGCTCAAACAAAGAGGAATGTTATGGATGTTTCCTAGCTGCTGCCTTTGTCTAAGGATAAGGTTTATGAGAATGTGCAGGCTCACCTTCGAGATATTGCAGGTTTGGTTCTGGACCACTGCAGGAAGGTAAATGTTGCAATAAAGTGAACCACATAAAGCTTTTGTTTTCTAGTGGTTATACAAGTTATATCTGCATTATATTTTAATCTGGTAAGTGTGTAGTAGTAATGTGTTTAAAAATACAGTGTTCAGGCCCTCCCTGGTGGCGCAGCGGGTTAAAGCACAGCACTGAGAATCTAAAGCCGCTTCCTCATGAGTTCGATTCCCGCCTGCCCGGGTGGTGACCACATGGCGTGGCAGACCTCTCCTGACCCGCCCGCTGCTCCCCTCAGCAGTGTATTTCGTTGATCTGCCTGTTCTGCACTCCACTCTGTCTCTGGTGAATTCTCTCACCCTCCACATCTCTGGCCTGTATCCCAGTTCTGTATGCACAAATAAAATAAAATCTTTAAAAAAAAAAATACAGTGTTCATGCCCTAATTAAATAGTGTTTTATTGAAAAAATAGGCTAATCATCATGTGAACCATCAGCAATTTGTTACCTTTTTGCTGGTGGAGGGTCTTGTAAAAATGCAGTTACTAAGATGCAATAAATGAATTCCTTTCAATATTGAAGCTAGAGGAAAATAAAAATAAAATTCCTATTCCTGTTATATGCCATACATTATTTAAGTAGTAGAGATACAACAGTGAACACAACAGAGAGATGCTTGCTTTTGTGGGATGTACATACTATAGACACTTCATTAGAAAGCTGTCACACTTCAATTTATATAAAATACTTGATAGGTTAATTGGTAACAATTAGGAATGTAATTCTAAACCCTGTGGAGTGGGGTAGGAGCTAGAGGGCTGGTAAATGGTGGTGGCTTTTAGAATGTTTGAAGGTGTTTGATAAAGACCTAAATGAGAGTTGGTAATAGCGATTGGGTGTTTTGGATAGAAAATAGCCAAGAGCTGGTAATAGTGATTAGGTGTTTTGGGTAGAAAATGCCTATTTTTTAAGAGTATTTCTAAGAAATAGGCATTTTTAGGATCTAGGAATACTACATTTAACATTTATCAACAAACCTGTGTTAGCACTGAGAAATCTATCAGAGAATGAAACATTTTTGGAGTAATATTAGCTTCTTTACATGATTGACTTTATGTGCTCCCTATCACAAATAGTGATTGGATTCAAGTGTAGTAAACAGGCATTGACTATTTCAGTGGTTTTTATTCTTAAGGATGCAGTGTTTTATTTTTTTCCACATTCTAGTAGTTCTGCTGACTCTTTATGAGTGAGGATGATCTAATAGGCCTATAATATATAATTGCTGTGACCTTTAATCTGACTTTAATGTATATTTTGGTAAGATAAGTAGATAAAAGGAGATTTTTACTTTTTTATGATGAAATAACATTTGACTTACATATTTAATATTTGAATCACAAATTTAAAAGCACTTTAACTACTCATTTGTTAATAGGAGAGGCAAAATTTCCTGAGAAGTTCATACTATTTTGCGTTCTTTGGTGCAGCAGCGACAAGTAGTATCTTTCTATATTTTCAGGGACTCAAGCAGTAGTGAAAGCGATGATAGTTCTGATTCTTCATCTGATGAGCTAATTGGTCCTCCTGTACCTCTTAAAATGGTGGAACAATCAGTTAGTCATATGGAGGAAGACATCCTCAGTTCTCTACCTCCACCTCTTCATGAAGAAGCTGAAGAAGATGATGACAGTGATTCAGAAGAGGAGGAAGTAAGTATTTCAGTTATAATTTAAAAATTAAATGTAATAGTGTTTTACAGTTGTAATGTTATTCAAAATAGTTGTAAATGGATTAACTTGCAGTTTAAAAGACAAAGATTCTCAGATTGTATTAAAAGTTCTATTATATTCTGTTTATGAGTGACATAACTGCAATGTAATGATGTAAAAAGGTTGAAACAAAAATAGAAGGAATATAGTAGGAAAATGCTAATCAAAAGACAAAACTGATTAGTATAATAAAATTAATGTGAGACAAAATAATCTTTGTCATAATTGTAATTAGCAAAACTATAAAAGGAAAAAATATTTTCCAGGGAATTTGGCAGTCTTTAGATTCTATGCATTTAAAACAACGTATTAAAAACAAAATTAGCCAGAATTACAAGGAGAAATGGGTAAGTCTACAATTATACTGATAAATTGTTTAAAAAAAAAAAGTACGGGCATTACAACTGAGATGGGAAAAGGCACAAAATGATGTAAAAATAAGTGATTATATTATTAAAACCAAACAAACAATAACAAAAAAGTAACAACATAGATTTGAGCAATGTAAATGATCAAGTTTTCTCTCTTTAGCATATATGGAGCCCTTATTCAATCTTTTTTTCCAAACATACACGGAAATAGAAGCAATACAACAATAATAACAAAATCACACATGTAGGTCACGATATGGTATGGGCTCCATGACAAAGATGGCTTAATTGTTTTGGGTAGGTCACAGAGTAGGTAACATTGAGGCTGAACTGTGAAATATAAAGATGTTACGCTTGTTCTTTATGTGATAATGTTTGCATTCCTCTTACTTCCCAGTTCATATGTTGAATATCTTGAAATATAGTCCAATGTGGCTGTATTTGGAGCTGAGTCTCCTTTGGAAATAATTTAGTCATAAGGGTGGGCTCTGACCCTATATAATTGGAATCCTCGTAAGGAGCTGAACATTGGAGAGTTAAGTATGCATATAACCTAATAAAGTAGCTGTTTAGAAGCCAAGAATAGACTTCTCATCAGAAATAAAAACGCCAGCATCTTGATTGTGGATGTCTAGCTTCCAGGACTATGAGAAAATAATTTCTGTTATTTATGCCACCCAGTCTGTGGTATTTTATTATGGTAACCTATGAATTATCATAAAATTTGCAAGATTGACAAGGGGGTGGGGAACAGAAAAAAAGATGTTGTGAACAGGAAGAAAGTCTCTACAGTGAAGATCCAACTGTGTGCAAATACATGATATGTCAACAAGTCATACAATTAGTGTGTGGCTGAGTTTTCTTATTAGGAGAAAGTGGAAAGATGAGGCCAGTGAGATCAAATCCAGCCAATATACCGAGAAGAAATACTTCCTGGAGGAGGTGAAATTTGAACACACAGTGAACAGGGTCACATTTTGATGGGCCTAGTACTGGTTTAGGCTGTTTCCTACCTACAAAGAGTGAATGGTGCGGTGGGCATAGTACATAGGGTTAAATTGAGAATGGTGGCAAAACCAGGTTGTCTAGAACAGAGAGCAGATAAAGCAGACCAGGCCTTTGCCTTAGAACTGCTGTGCGAGTGAATCCAGAATTCAGCTATGCAGAAGTAAAAATATGCCTGGTTATGGGGGCTCAGAAGCCCACTGATAAGCCCAAGTCTTCTATGACCATAGAGCATTTCAGAAGACTGAATACATCTTTCTGGTGTTTTTTTTTTTTTTTAAAGATTTATTTATTTGTGCATACAGAACTGGGGTACAGGCCAGAGGCTCAGGGACGGTGAGAGGCTTCACCAGAGACAGAGTGGGGAGCAGAACAGGCAGATCGACGAAGTACACTGCTGAGGGGAGCAGCGGGGTGGGTCAGGAGAGGTCTGCCGCGCCATGTGGTCACCTCCGGGGCAGGCGGGGATCGAACTCATGCAGAAGTGGCTTTAGCTTCTCAGTGCTGTGCTTTAACCCGCTGCGCCACCAGGGAGGGCCTTTCTGGTGTTTTTAAATGAGATTATATAGTGCTGCTTTTTGGAAGTGAATCTTTAAATCTCTTGATGCTGTGCTTTTTCTTTTGTAATCAGAATAATTGGCGATATGTTCCAAAAGGGCTTCAATCTTGAAGCCCTTGTATGAACTGATAATGCATAGCTTATTAGCACTGTTAATGGGTTAACTTGCAACTTTAAGGTGAACAGGAGTGGAAGATTCCTATTTGTTTTTCATTTCTGATATATATGACAACATTCCTAAGACTAGGACAGAGATAGTAGGTGAAGTACATAGCCTGGAAATTTGAAAATGTGAACGAGACTTTGTAGTAGTCTTCCTAGAGTCTGATAAATTGTTTTGACCATAGAGGAAGCCTTCAATTCTCAGATGTTTTGCTGTCGTAGTAGATAGGTGGCAATGTTAGGTTGATAGTAGATGGTTCTGAGGGAGAACATACCTTCCCTGCTTTGTTACAGTTGATGGGCAGTAGTTGATAGGAAATTGGTAGTATTGTAGATCAAATAATAGTCAGGGTCAAAGGAAATCTGACTATTGTCTTGAATGGGAATGTTATAATGGAGCCTAGGTAAATTTATTCACTTTAGGTAATTTGCATAGTAGTGCTTGCCCAGTTTCCACATTGAATTCAGATATTTCTGCCCTTTGAAAGAGTATTACTTTTGTTGGACTTAGAGTCTAATAGTTCTTTGCTCATTGATTTGAAACTGGATTTAGTTCTTTCAGAGAATCAGTTTGAGGTAGTGCTAAGCAAAATTACAAGAGATTGTTTTAGATTACTAGAATGCTAGCAATATATATATTTTTTAATTTATTTATTTGTGCATACAGAACTGGGGTACAGGCCAGAGGCTCAGGGACGGCGAGAGG